TCCTCTATTCTAGAATTATCTACAAGGCCCAGGAGAAACCCCAGGTTGGGCTTGCCCCATTAAGCCCATTCCAGACCCCTTGTCTGGCACTGTTCCTGCGCGGGTACTGTTCCTGCGCGCGTCCTGTAGCTTCCAGAGACTTCTGGGCCACTCCTGCGCGCTCCAACAGCTTCTAGGACATTCTGGGCCGCTCACTCCCGTGCTTGCGCGCCCGTGTCTCGACCGCGCGCATGACCTGTTCTGTGGACGCTCTCGGCCACTCCTGCACGCCCCTGCATGTCTCGACCGCGACCCCATGCCACGGCCATGGCATTGACACGGCCACCTTATGCAGGGCTTGCCTCCTGAGCGTCCCATGTTGTGCTTGCGCCCGTGCCTGCGCTCGCGCGCCCCAGCGCCTCGAGCCATCTCGCACCCATGCGAGCCAGCGTCTCGACCCAGCTTGCCTGTGCGTGCACCCGTGTCTAGGCCCAGGACACTTTCGCTTGCCCACGCATGTCGCCCCCGACTGCTTACGCACGCTCCCACGCGTCCTGTCCGCAACTTCACGCCTCGGCCCTGGTATCGACGCCTCCGCTGGCAAGGCCCACTGCGTCCTCGTATGCGTATGTGTCGTAGCCGCAACCCCGTGTCGCGACACCGACACCCGCGTCCCGCATGCCCGCGTCCACGCTTCCGACTGCGCTTCTGCTGGCGTCCATGCTCGTGCTCACGCCTATCCTCGCGCTCACACTCCGCAACGCCGCTTGGCATGTCCCTTGGACGCTGGACACACCCCCTGTGTGCCCATGGCTGCAGCTCCGTGCCACGATGCCCTCGACTTCGGCCCCCGAACTCGCGTGCCGTGACACTCTCCCCCACCAAAGCCCTTGACGCCCTCGTCAAGGCACCTAGCGTCGAGTGCCTCGAACCCTCTCGCAAGTTGCCGCAAGTCTCCGCCGCATCCACGTCTTGCTGCTGCCGTGGTTCGCCCGCGTCCTGTGCCACGTCCCTGGCCTCCTCAGGCTTGGGTTCTCCCTTGTGGCTGGACTCCTCAGGCTTAGCGACATTGCCCCCTGGCCTCTGCCGCAAGTTGGGTGAGATCAACGCCACGTCCTCTGCCTCCCCAGGCTCGGACTTCTCCATGTGGCTGACCTCCCCCGTGTGGCTGGACTCCTCACCAGCCCTGGCGATGGCACTGAGCGCGTCCCTCCGTGGACATTCCCGCGTCCAGTGTGGCCCTCCACACAAGTAGCAGTCATGCTTCCTCTTGGGTCGCTCACCGCTGCCATCTC